GCAGGTGGATATTCAGAAGCTGACTCTTCTTGATAGCATCGTTATCTCTGCAAAACATTGCGGTTTCCGACGCCCACCGGAACGTTTTGCTAACAGTCTTGAACAAATATGGGCAGGTCATTCATACTATATATACTGCTTCTTTACACCATTCACGACTTTGTTGGTCGCATTGACAGGCCAGGCTGCTCTTTACTACTGACCGTCTTGTACAAATATGGGCAGATCATCCATATTACCAGGTGGATGTTCAGAAGCCAACGCGCAGTGTAGTAGACAGCTCGATTCTTCGGGTACGGTCTAAGTAGCGGATCCTCGCGTAGTTTTCTGTACCGGTGCGAACCGGTACTAGCGTCGGTGCTGGAAGTAGCATGTGAGGCATCGATAGCATCGTTATCTCTGCAAAACATTGCGGTTTCCGACGCCCACCGGAACGTTTTGCTAACAGTCTTGAACAAATATGGGCAGGTCATTCATATTTGCAGGTGGATATTCAGAAGCTGACTCTTCTTCAAGATGGTCGTTCTTCTGCTTCATGCGCCTGTTCTGGAAACAGTTCTTCACCGTCTAACCACAGTGTAGTGGACAGCTCGATTCTTCGGGTACGGTCTAAGTAGCGGACCCCCACGTACTCCTGTTCGAGCTCCATCATCTGGTGGCTTGTGAAGGCTGTCCAGATCCTCTTCTGCTTTATTACGCCATTCACGACTTTATTGGTCTAATGACAGGCCAGCCTGGCCTTTACTACTGACCGTCTTGTACAAATATGGGCAGATCATCCATATTTCCAGGTAGATGTTCAGAAGCTGACGCGCAGTGTAGTGGACAGCTCGATTCTTCGGGTGCGGTCTAAGTAGCGGACCCTCGTATACTCCTGTTCCAGCTCTACCATCTGGTGGCTTGTGAAAGCTGTCCTGATCCTCTTCTGCTTCTTTACACCATTCACGACTTTGTTGGTCTAATGACAGGCCAGCCTGGCCTTTACTACTGACCGTCTTGTACAAATATGGGCAGATCATCCATATTTGCAGGTGGATGTTCAGAAACTGGCTCTTAAGACAGTCTTTTTCTCCTTCATGCGCTTGTTCTAGGACCAGATCTTCACCGTCCGCTGATGTAAGCGCAGTGTATTGGACAACTCGATTCTTCGGGTACGGTCTTAGTAACGGACCCTCGCGTACTCCTATTCGAGCTCCATCATCTGGTGGTTTGTGAAAGCTGTCCAGATCCTCTTTTGCTTCTTTACGCCATTCACGACTTTGTCGCATTGACTAGGCCAGCTTGGCCTTGCATAACCTCCATTCGGCATATTGTACCCACCGTTGGACCGGAATGGTAAATAATATAAAAAGAAGGCCTCACTGTTTGGACACTGCTCATGTTCGGTGAGTATTCCACGTTGCCATTGGATCCAGTATAGTGAACTCCGTAGGAGGTCACACCATAACTGGAACTGTTGCTCGTCCCAGGCGTTGGAATTTGGTGGCGTATCCGTTGCTGGTTACCGAAATGTGTAGAGGGTGCCCGTTGCTAGTAGTCGCTGGCATGGGCACCTGCTGACTCAGCCCGTTGAATGTGGAGGATACTGGAACCTTCTGTTCGCTGAAATCAAGCTGTAGTGGCTCCATAATCCATTCTTGAAGCTGTAACAATAAAAATATATTAGATATACCAATCTTCTTCTTTGTTCTAGCCATTTACCATTATATGGGGTCGGCTTTCCTCGTTCTGCGGAATTCTGTTCTTTATTGTATTAACAGTGTTCTGTATTATATGAACCAATATTTTTTTTCAAATGTATGAATAGGTACTTACTATTCCATTCTTGGCAGACTCTGTCGAATCTTGATTCCATAACTGCTTATAATCAGCCTCGAAGATCCCCTTGGGAGAGTCCAAGTTAATAATAATAGGAGTGGGTGGCGTAGACGCGTAGACATGGTCGAAGGTTAGTAACTGGAGACAGTCTGAGCAACTTTCATTACAAGACGTGAATCGGGTATGATTTGAAATGAACATACCCTCATATAAATGATAAAAAGTGAAAAAAATTTAGGGCGATTAGGAACAGTAGGATAGATTCGTTAAGTTTAAAACAAGTAATTAATGAAGGTTGAAAACAATCTTGTTTTTCGACACATCAGAATATTCTGATAAGTTCTGATTTCCTTTGCTTTTGTTATTCTTAGTTTTGTATGAATAATAAACAATGGACATACTGTTTAACAAAATTAAATGATAAATTTAAGCTATTATAAGTAATATTATACTTATAAAAAGTACATAGACGATGCAGCATTTAATTGAAAGAATGAGTTTTAGTGACATATTACATTTTATAAGGTATTATATAAAATAGTAGTTTAATACAAAGATTGACAATTTGTTGTTTAAAATATAATGTTACTTTATATAGCTTCAAAATACTTATTGTAATTAAATTTTTAAACATGAAACATCGAAAATTATTATATTTTAAATAAATAAATGTTAAAATATTAATTTGTATTATTTCATGCCTGACATAGGTACCTAGTTCAGTTATTAGGCGAAATATGAATATTAGGTAATAAATTTTTTGGTATTTAATATTAGTATAGCCTGACCAGGAACATAAAAACCCTGGCACAGAGGCGCTTCAATTGCATTTGATAGTGCAACACTGAGTACAGTCGTACATGTGTTAAATTAATAGGCTAAATTTATGTATCAGGATTCAGGATTACGGGCTAATTTGATATTTTCATAAATTAACGAAAAACATTATTAAATATAACCTGGTTTAAATAAATTAAATGAAACCATCAATCGAGCTAGTAGGATTTATTATATTATTCATCAATAATCAAATTCAGAACATGAATATTCAACTGCAATGTCTGCTCATGAACGCTTCAAACTCGGTACTTCTTTCCCAATTCCATAAAATTCAAAACTTAGAAAGTGAAAAAAAACTTTAAAATAGGTAGTTGAAACAGACTACAGCTAATTTTCATAGTGGACTGTACCATACGATAAACATGTCAGTCAATTTGACAACCTTTGTCGGAAACATTATTCAATGAAAATATTGTCCGAACCCTTAGTATTTCTCTTCGACAAATACATTAACACATTGTGAACCACTTTTCTTTCACGACTATAAAAATATTTTAGCAATTTAATTCACGAAATCAATTGCACACATTTAAAATAAAGTTTGTTTATGGTTTGTTTACACTTTGACAACAATAGACTGACATGCATGGTGACATGTGAATGAAGTTTTCAGTTACTGTTGCCATTAAAAGAAATTAGTACCATTAGTTTTCCGCAACATGGCGAGGGTTTTTATGTTCCTGGTCAGGCTATACTTCTTCTTATTTATCTTAGCATCATGGTCAGTTAGGTCTTAAAAGACACTGGACAACTTTACATTTTGTAAAATATTTTATACTTTAGCAAAGTACTTAACCGTTACTATGATGAATAATTTTCAAATGTAGGCATAAAGCTAAATTCATCTGCTTTTGCATTAGAGATGATTTTTTTTTCAGGGCATAAATTAGGTTAACCGAAGCCCGAAATTAATATTTTACTATACCTACCTATTTATCTGGTGTATATTTATATCAATATCAATTTTTACGCGACCTGTAGTAATCAGAGCATCGCTTAAAATATTAATTAATGTTTTAAAGGAACAATTGTTATTTATGTAGAAGTAAACTAGAATATGATGCTTTATCTGACAGGATGTCATGTTTATTTTGTAGGTTATTAAACACAATATTTTAATTTAGCTGGTAGTTGGATGTTTCTTTCTAACTTCTGTGAGTACTTAATCATTTTATGGTTAAAAATAATTAACGTATGGATGAAGATGCCACCTTACAAATTAAAATCACGTACCTAGTTCTATATGCATTGAAAACATTAAACTTTTGCGTTTTATAACTAAACGAATGAAAAAATTGGGAAATTTCTATTAGAGTTAACGCCATCTATCTGGATAAGTAGTAAACGAAATTGCAGCCGGGAAAATGTGTTGTGGAAACTCGTCTCGTTTCGGGGAGCGTAAGTATTTGCGTACTGTTTTCTAGTCATATTAGAATAGAAAATGTTATTTATAATAAATGAAAAGAGGTTTCATTTTCCTTAGCTTGGGGTAACTTGTGTATAATATTTTTCTTCTAAATGTGAATCCTGGCCACAAATCGCATCAAAGCCTTCATAATGCTTAGAATCCTTCGCTGTAAACCGTATGTAGATCCGACTACCTCGTATAGATGGCGCTATGAGTCAAATTTAGAAACAAATAACACAATAATCTTGATTATTGTATACTTAATTTGCCCGCGGTTTCACCCGCGTGAAATTCAGTTTGGAGATCATTTTATTTTTTATGTAATTCTGAGTTATAAGCAATAATACTGTAAAGTTTGATCAAAATCCGTTCAGTAGTTTTTGCGTGAAAGAGTAACAAACATACAGACAAGTTTTTTTTTATTTATCTTTTATTAAAGAAACATACAGCCTTGTTTGATATATGCAGCTTCAAATTAAGTGCAAGTAATACATCCAGACATCCGCTCTCGCATTTATTTATTAGTAGGACTACTATCATCAAGTCGTAATTACTTAGTAATAGAACAATTTTGTAAATGTATTTCTATCGGAATGTTTCGATTTTTCATTTAAAATACGAGTATTATAATGGCATTTTATATTTAGCCTGTCCTATTTTATACCCGGTTTAAAAACCAAGAATTCTAACTAAGTATTCAGTTAAGTTCAGCAGTAGGATTTATATTTCCAATTTCAGAAAAGTAGATATAAATTTCTTTTTTTTTTCTTTAAAAAATCCCTAAAGTTTCATATAAGTTAAAAGTCTGAGCCGTTCAATTTAAACAACAATTTAAATAGTGTCCTAATTTTTATTTCAAATTCAACTTGTATGTTGAAGTCACTTGCTAGTACTCATTAGTTACTAGTTGTACTCATATAAAAATTACACATAATATCACAAATTATAAAAATGATTCTGATTTAAATTAAAATAATAACAATTAAGAACATAATTTTATCAGTAAGTATAACAATGCAATTTTAAAATAAATTTAAAACATTTTGACATAGGTAACATCATTGAAATATTGTATAATTTTTGGTTACTTTTTTTTATATTCTTCGCTTACGCGAAACACAATTTGACACATTTCCAGATGACTTTACAGGATTTAAAATCTGTTTCAGTGTCCTCACTCAGTGTTTTCTCCGTGTTACTTGGCAAAGTCGTGAATGGCGTGATATCTCCAGGTGGTTTTATGACTGGTTCCAGGACTTGTAATCTGTCTTCTCCCGTGGCTTGGTGCGTGAGCACTGAAGCGTCTTCTTCACTCTCTGAATAATTGTTCCACAGTCGTGAATGCCGTAATAAACCACCTGGAGCTGCCTTGAGATGAACCATTTACGCCTATTTATGATCCGCAGCAGATCAGGAACTACTTTCACTGTTCCAAATCATCACTGATGTTGATGCTGCGGATCCAAGACAGGTCCCAATTTTCTTCGGTATTATTAGCTCCAGCAGCGTTTTCTGTGCCCGCACTCGCTGGAGCCGGATCCTGTAGTTGTTGGGCTTGAACGCCATTGACCTGAATAGCGTTTCCTGGTACGTATGGCATCTCAAGGCATGGAGACGTAGGCGCATGAGGCAGCATTTGAGGCATCGCCATTGGCGGCATCGGAATTGATGGCATCGACATAGATGGCATCGACACCGATGGCATCGGCACTGATGACATTGACACCGATGGCATCGGCACCGATGGCATCGACATCGATGGCATTGACACCGATGGCATCGGCACCGACGGCATCGGCATCTCTGCACACAATACCGGATTAAAATGGCCGTTTCCGATGCCCATTGGAACGCACTGCTGACCGTCTTGAACATATATGGGCAGGTCGCCCATATTTGCAGGTGGCAGATCACAATCTGCCACTTCTTCAAGACGGTCTTTTTTCTCCTTCATGCGCCTGTTCTGGAACCAGATCTTGACCGTCCGCTGATTTAAGCCTAGTATGGTGGATAGCTCGATTCTTCGAGTACGGTCTAGGTAACGGGCCCTCGCGTACTCCTGCTCGAGCTCCACCATCTGGTGGCTTGTGAAGGCAGTCCGGTTCCTCTTTTGTTTCTTCACCCCATTCACGACTTTGTTGGTCGCACTCACAGGCCAGGCTTGCCTTACGTAACGACCATCCACCATCACGCCGTTCACGGAGCCGTTACCTCCATTCGGCATGTTGTAGCCTCCGTTGGGCCGGAACGGATATATACAACGTTAGTAGGAGGCCTCACCGTTTGGACACCGCTCACGTTAGGCGAGTATCCTACGTTGCCATTGCCAGTATAGTGAACTCCATAGGAGCCCACACCATAGCTGAGTCCGCTGCCCGTTCCCGGGTGCTCGTTGCTGGTAGTCGCCGGCAGAGAGTACAATTGGTAGTGCCCGTTGGACGACGCCGGCGTGGGCACCTGCTGACTCAGCCCGTTGGATATAGCGGGCACCGCTGCCTGCGGGTAATGTTTCCCATTGACCGTTGATAGCAACTGGTAGCTGTTTTGAAGCTGTAACAATAAAACAATAGTATTAGATATGCTACAATTATGTATTTTAACATCTTATTTCACAAAGTTCCCTTTTCAAATCTAATATGATTATGAACCAATAAATTTTGTAAATTGCAAAATATTGCAGTTTTTTTTTCAAATAAATTAAACTTACCGTTCCGTTCTTGGCAGACTCCGTCGAATCTTGGTTCCTCTGCTTACTATCAGCCTTGAAGATCTCCTTGGGAGATTCCAAGTTGTTAGTAGAAGTGGGTGGCGTAGACATGTTCGAAGACTTCGAAGTTTGTTAGTACTAGAGACAGTCGGAGCAACTTTCGCTACAAGATCTGAATCAAGTATGGTTTGAAATGGACATACCCTCATTATTTATAGTGAAAAATTTTTATTTGCACTCGCTTAAGGATGAAAGCTCAGTACTTTAATTAGGTAGATCGTTAGACAAACGATTCACTATTAGGGTAATTAGGGATAGGACGGATTCGTTAAGTTCAAAACAAGTAATTAATGAATGTTGAAAACAATCCTGTTTTTCGACAAATCAGAAAGTTCTGTTAAGTTTTGATTTCCTTTGCTTTTGTCGAATGCTACGTCGAATGTACTTTAAAAAGATTTAGATCCTTAAATTAAAATGCTGCATCGAATGTACTTACTACACTAAAATAATTTTAGTGACATAATATTGTAATTTATAAAGTATAAATAAAAAAAAGTCATGTTATTTTTATAGCTTCGAAATATTGTTATAGAAATTAAATATTGAATTATGTATAATATTTTAATTCCTAAATAAAGTTCATAAATATTAATTTGTATTATTTCCATTAAATGCATAACGTAGTTTGGATAACCAAATAGGCGAAATATGAGTAGGTATGTACTTAATATTATGCTGTGGTACTATTCTCTTTTCAACCGACTTCAAAAAAAGGAGGAGGTTCTCAATTCGACCCGTATGTTTTTTTTTTTTTTTTTTTTTTTTT